GTGCTGTTTACTAGAAGACAAAGATCACCAGCTGGGGACAGAACTTAGTTAAACCATGTCAGTCTCATGGCAGCAGGAGCAGTAACATCCCAGCTCTTTGAAATGAGCTAAAAATCAGGGTTGGGGAAAGCACCTTCCTGAAAGGACTCACCTGACTGCAGATGGGATAACAGAGAAGTGCAAGCTTGAGCCGTGCTTGTTCTTTTCCTACCCAAACTCCTGGAGGAACAAAGTAATTCTGTGTGATTGTCACGTGTTATCTCTCACCCACGAATTTACAGTTTCCATCAGGAAATAAATTAAGGTGTTTAACAGGTATTGGCTGCCAGTCATGCCCTTCACTACCATGCAGTAAGGTCATACACTCTGTAAAAGTTGCTTGTCCTTTCATGCTTATTCTATTTGTCCCAAGCCATTCTCTGTTAGAGCAGCCAGGAACCCTCACTGCCAGGTCAGAAGCAGAGGTGGGTATCAAAACCTCTGTAAATAAGTGAGCAGCACAAAAGGAAAAGTAAGGTTTTCAGGTGTTAATTCATCCTCCTAAGTCTGAGCTGTGGCTTGCTGAGCAGATAAAGAAGGATGCTTTTGAATGGTATAAATTTTTCAAAACTGCTGGAAGGAGACAAGAAACAACACAGTTCAGAGGGTGTGAATTTTGCCTGGCTGGAATATCCTGTATCTTTGCTTTGCTCAAATAGCCTTATGTATGAAGCACTTTATTCAAATGCAGGAATTAAAGAACTATTACTACAGCTGGTAGACTGGAAATGTTTACAGGTCCTACATGACATTCCAAGATTCTATCTGTGAGTGTTACATGTCTGTAAAAGTGTTTGAAAAAAAGAAAAAAAAATATCTTGTGTAAGAAGTTACACATGTGATGTGTTATTTCTGGTGTGATTGGATTAAACTTGTGCTGCCCACCATGCTGGGTTGGGCTGACATCAGTGCTGAGCAGTCACCTCCTCCTGCCCTGGGACATAGCCTGCAGCCCTAGGGGGTGGCACTTTGCAACAGGAACTTGCTGGAAGTTGAATTGGTTCAGCATATTTTTACCTGAAATGCTTGAATAGTTTGACTTCACAGCAGGAGCTGCAACAGTGAAAGCTGGGCTGAGACAGGACTGTACATCTACCTCTGGCTTGTGCTTTCTTAACTCCCATAACCTCAAACTGCCTTCAGCTGGAGAATCTTGAGCTTTTCAAAAGGCTTTCACAGCACTATTGCAACAGAACAACACATGCTTTTACTAAAAAAAGTATTTTTAATAATAATAAAAAAAAATGCACCCATAAGGGAAAAGCTTAAGCCACTAAAAAGGGTAAACACTTAAGTTTTTAATAGCTGTAATCACATAACCACCAAAGCCTACCACAACCAGGGACTTCACAGCATGAAAAATCTTTTTGCTTTTACTTCTGTTCTAAGAAACCCCCTTACTTTCCTTACTTTGCAGTGACCTGGAAAATAAGTCTTGTTTTCTGGAGAGCTGAGTAAGGACACCCGTGTAAGTCATACTCAGGATGCTGTAGCCCAATGTGGGCAGTAGCATGTGGGCTGAATGCTTCTGCTTTCTTAAACTTCCTCCACTTCTTTCAGGCTGTGCTCCAGGATGGTGTCTTGTCCCTGAAACTTAAAATAGCCCCGAAACAGCTTTCTCTGAAGCAGCAGGGGAAACCAGTAGCTGTCATCTGGCCACATGTGATGGAATGGCACCTCGTCCAGCTGAAACCACTGGGGCCGCATTTCTGGTGGCAGAAAACAAAAGAACTCTGCATGGGACTCACTCATGGATTTTTGCTGCCTACACTGTGAATATTGGAACAAGCAGCTTCCCTCTACAGCCCAGCTGCCCTCCTTCTGGAAGGCATTTTCATGTGAATAGTTCTCCATTTCATAAGGGCAATGCTATCTCAGAAGAGCATGCACATCCTTCCTTTCCCCACACCAGCCACCTACCCTCACTTTCTGTTGGCTCTCCATGAAAGTGATCTGCCCGGAAAATGTGAACATCCATGAGTTCAGAGTTGCCTACAAATTCAAATGTGATCTGACCCATCTTCTGCAAGGTGTCCACAGTCAGTCCACTCTCCTCCAGGAGCTCCCTGCACAAGAAAAAGACTTCTTACATGAAAGTGAGCATGGGGAGGACAAAAATGCAGTCATTAGCTTTACTCACACATTCAAAACCCTGAAACCAGGGTGAACCAAAGGTGAAAGCTCTTATAGTACAACAGAGCAGAGTTCTGACCTGCACCAAGCCACAAAGCTACAACACCACAGTGCAGCCAGGTCAGATGGGATTGTGTGTTATTTCAGGCTCCTGAGGCTGGCAGGAAAACAGTCTATGTTGGAAGGGGAAGATTCAGGAGAATTGATAATTTAGTATAATTTAATCCTTGTGACATTAAATCTCTGTGGTAAGGGAGGAGTGGGTAAGTGAAGTCATGAGACTGTAGCTGGGTGTGGCTTCAGAACTCCAAGACACACTTCATTTAGACAGGCAAAAGGCTTTGCTAACTTCAAGCTGAACCTTCCAGAGTTGTGGAGAAGCAGGTAATGAAGGAAAGACCATCTATCTGCTACACAATCAGCTACTTCTGAGGCAAACTGAAGCTTAGCTAAATTACGCACTCCATAACACCATTTGCACACAGGAGGTTGAGAATTCTGGTTCCCATTCAAATGCAGTGTAAAAATCACAAAGTAATTGTGCAGACTTTGCCTTTCTGCTCCTTGGAAGCACATTGAGCATAACGAGAGGCCAGAAGGCAGGACTTTTCAGAGCACTTGGAGAGCTGTGCCAGCTCTTTTCCACGCACCACCATGCACAGCTACTTGAATCACATTCAGTTATTTCCTTTCTTTATGCTCTGTGCTCAGGGCTTTTTTAATTTTACCTCTCTCTAACAGAAGCAGCATGGCTTGAAGTTAGTAATTTTTTTTTTAATGTACAAAAACAAGGAATACTCTGAAACTGTGTATCTTTAGTTGTAGTTAATAATTAATGTAGTTGCCTATTTGGCAGGGACAACAATTTTAAAATGTAATGGAAATTATTTTAAGGCTCCAGCTTTCTTTGGCATTGGTTTCATGGATCCCATCTTTCAAAATTATACTTCAAATTAATGTCTTGGCTAATTTTAGTTTATCTTCTGAGAAGCTCTCTATGTCTAAACTAGAGGCAGTTTTCCAGCAATGACTCTAAAAGCCTCCTTTTACAGGCACTGATAATTGAACAACAAAGCACAACACTGCTACAGTTCTCCAGGCAATTTATCCATCAGCTGCTTGGCTCTGCAGCAAGTGGGAACATTACAGGTGGCACCCAGAGCTGGTGGCAGGTAAGTCTAGCAAATGTTAAGTGACAAAACTTACGTCCCTCCCTCCACTCAGAGATGATAAATGACACAAAAAGCCATGATGAAGTGTCAGGTACGTTAAGGCCATGTGCTGCTGGGAGCACATCTGCACAGAGCCCCTTCTGTCCCAGGGCCCGGCTCACCACAGAACCTGGGTGGTTGTGCTGGCACAGCTGAGGAGGCTGTTGAGGGCAGAAGCTGTTGGGAACCAGCTGAGCATGCCATGACTGATCTTCTTGCAGGTGCAAAGGCAGCTTTGGGCATGTTATCAGAAACTGAGGAGATGGCAAAGTATGGCTTTGTATCAGCAACATTCATGTAAAGAACAAGGTACCTAATTTTTAGAAGAACTTAGCAATTCAGCTGTGATTTGCTACTTCATTTTAATGACCAGACAGATGAAAGAGCTACAAGAAATCAGTACTAAAGGGTTCAGAAATTACACAGTGCCTTTTTAGTGATTAAATTCAATTCCACAACTCAGCATTAGCACTTAAAAATGTCACCATACAATCAAATAATAAGCAGTTTGGTTAATTATTTAAATTAAATAAGCTGTAATTCTGGTATATAGCCAAAATTAAGCCCTGCACCTCTCTGAAGAGTGCAAGAACCTCCACCCACCACTCAGACTCATTCTCAGTTTAAATCAGAATCCAGGAGATGGGACAGAGGATCCAGGATGTTCCAGTTGCTCAGACTGGACAAGTTTAAGATTTGCAGATGACAAAGGGCGAGCAATCCTGTTTCTCTGTACATGTGGATGATCCCTCATGACCTGTGGAGCAGGTGTTCAGAGGTGGGTCATGACTGCACTGGTGGGTAACACGAGGGTGTCACTGACCAGACGAGCCGTGGTACCTCCACCTGCAGCCCACTGCCGATGGTCCAGCACCTCACCTGTGCCTCCATACCTCTCCCCATGGCGCGGACCCAGCCCTCACCTGCGGGCAGCCTCCTCGATGCTCTCCCCGGGCTGCACCTTCCCCCCGAAGCCATTCCACAGCCCGGCGCCGAACCCGCGCTTCTTCATGCCCAGGAGGACGCGGGACGGCTGCACCACCAGGACCAGGGTGAAGAGTCTGGACGTGTGCATGGCTCCTGGCAGAGGGGACGAGGCGGACACGCTGTGCCGAGGGAGCCGGGGGGCGCACAGAGCCCCTCACCCCCAGCACCCCTCCCCAGTGCCCTCAGCGCCTCTCCAAATAATCTACCTCTCCATCGCTCCCACTGACCTCACCCTCTGCTACCTCAGCACCGCCTTCCCAAAGTTTGATCCCCCTTCGTAAATCCTTGTTTCCCCACACCCCCCGAATCCTGACCACCTTTAACACCCTCCTCTCCCAGCACCCCTTCCCCAAATCTTCGATCCCCTCCGCAAACCCCTGTCCCCCCAGATTCTCCGACGACCCTCAACACCCCTTCCCCGAATCCCTGAGTCCTTTAGAAACCCCTCCCCAAATCTCCGATCCGCTCTCCCTAAATCCTTAACTCCCAGCTCCCCTTCCCCACATGGCTGATCCCGCACCCCGATCCGTGACCCCCCGCGCACCTCAGCGCCACGGCCGCAGCTTTCCCGCCCGCCTCGATGTCACCCTCAGCCGCGGCCCTTCCCGCGCCGCCGCCGCCCCGCCCGCGGCCGCCGTGAGGGGAGGCGGGACGGGACGGGGCGGGCTGAGGCGGCCATGGCGGGCGCTGCCAGTGCCGGGGGCAGGTGCGTGGCGGGGCCGCTGAGGCGACCCCACGCATGGGATGGTGGCGTGTCGTTAGTGCCGGAGTTTCACTCGGGAACGGGTTAATGGGTGTTTGGGGTTTTAGGTTAATGGTGCCCTGCGGTTCCCGTGGCTGTTGGTTGCTCTGGCAGGAGCTCGGGCGTCCCTCCGTTCCTCTGAGCGGCTCACGGAGGCCAGCGGCCCCGCTGAGGCAGCTCAGGAGTGCTGGGATCACTCTTCCATGTCGTGTCCGTAAAACACCTGAGCAGAAGCTGGAGTGGGATCTCTTTCCCCCCTTAGCTCAGGATAACACGTGGGGCCTCATCCAAAATCTGACCCTGATAAGTAAAGGTGCCAAAAATCTCAAATTTAGGGGCTTCTTTTTAGAATCATGGAATGGTTTAGGTTGGAAGGGACCTCTGGAGACCATCTAGCCCAATAACCCTTCCAAGGCAGGGTCACCTGGAGCAGGTGACATAGGAACGTGTGTCCAGCTGTAGTGAGAATCTCCCAACAGGGAGACTCCACACCCTCCCTGGCTGGAATGAATTACTGTAGAGACTTCTGAAACACAGAGTGGTTATTTACTAACTGGTTGACTTGCCTCTCTTCCTGGCTTTGGATGAGCAGATACCTGCACACCACAGTGAAGTTTCTGAGGAAAACTGGAGCTGAGCAGAGGTGGTTGGAACGGCACTTGAAGGATCCCTTTGTCAAGGCATCGAAGCAGCAGCATTACCGATGCCGGAGTGCCTTCAAGTTGCTGGAAATTGATGACAAGCTCCGTGTTCTTCGTCCAGGATTTTCTGTTCTTGACTGTGGAGCAGCACCAGGTGCTTGGAGCCAGGTTGCTGTACAGAGGGTCAATGCCTTAGGTACTGGTAAGTGCAATTTTTTGGCAGGCAAGATGGGGATGATACTACTCTTGAAGTGTGTGAAAGATCTGTGAAATACTACGGAATCTAAATTGAAATACTATGAAATCAAGGAAATATTATGATGGTAACAGTGTGGGGAGGGGACATGGGTACTGGCAAGTGCCAGAGTCACTAATAAAAATATGAAAGGGTGAGCTAGTAATTCTTCATATAGAGAAATTGTGTTTATGAAATAAAACATACCATGTGGTGCTAGTGATTTGATTAGCTGTTGTGGGGAAGATTCCTTCATCCAGTTCTGAAATTTATGTGACCTCTAGCAATTACCTTGGCTTATTTAAAATATTATTTCCCTTCTCAAAAAATGGAAGCAACTGCTCTGCCTGGTTTATATGGGTGAAGCCATTGATATTTACAAAGTGAGGTGTTATCATCTGCAGCATTATCCAGGATTTCTGGACTGTCAGCCTTATAAGAGCAGCAGAAAACCAAGAAAAAGCCTCCTTGTTTATCCATAGTAGCTGAGTTTTTGTCTTGAGCGGATGAGCTTATGGCAAACCCAGCAAACTGCCAGGGGAGGAGAAGGCAGCTGTGGCAGGTGGTGGGTTTTGTCTACTGATAGGCACAGAGCTCGTGCATGTGCAGGTTTTTGCATCCACTCTGAGTGTTCCCTGTGTCATTCCTCCTTACAGATGCTGCTGTCCCCACTGGCTTCGTGCTTGGCGTTGACCTGCTGCGGATTTCTCCCCTGGAAGGAGCGGTTTTCCTGTCGGAGACTGACATGGCAGAGCCCAGCACGCTGAGGGCCATCCAGAGCCTGCTTCCCTTGGGGAAGGCAGATGTCATCCTGAGTGACATGGCACCCAACGCCACGGGCATCAAAGAGCTGGATCATCAGAAGCTGATCAGTCTGTGTTTAGGCCTTCTGGATATGTCCCAAAGCATTTTAAAGCCAAAAGGAACGATGCTCTGTAAATTCTGGGATGGATCCGAGGCCCGTCTGCTGCAAAACAGACTGAAGGAGCAGTTCCAGGATGTGAGAACTATAAAGCCTCAGGCCAGCAGGAAGGACTCTGCAGAATCTTATTACTTGGCAAGGCTGTACAGAGGGAAATGAAAGTCCTGAGCTGCAGATTCTCTTGACATGGATTGGAAATCTCAATTTAGTGGGTGTTGAGAGGAAAATGCCACCATTAAGACCTTGGGAAAATTTGCTGCTCTTCTTTAAGTCCATCAGACTTTTCAAATACTTGCGGACAAAATGGTTGGGAATGGAGAGGAATAATCTGAAAGGCAACCTCTGGGACTGCAGTAAGGGAAATGAAAATAAAATACTGATTATATGAGTTTTTAATGTGTGCCTGAAAATCATTGCACTGTTAATGCTGCCATACATGAGACTGACCATAAAGGTGATTGTTAGAACATGAAGAGAATGTCAGCAAAGGGTAGTTTGAGCCAATTCAGTGCCTTTTAGAAGGCTGGTGTGATTTATTAGCAGGTCACAGGTAAAAAATAGAAAGTGTTTCTGTGCACATCAGGTTCTGTCATGCACAGTGTGTAGCACAACCATGTGAGGGGCACGGCTGACTTGGGAATGTTCAGCCCCGTGGCTCTGCTGCCTCTCCCACAGCACAGGTTATATTTAGGAGTTGCTGCTTCCTGGCACTCCTAAATCCCGTCAGTGCCAGTGGGACAGGGTCATGGCCACGCAGATCATCTCCCCCGTACTTTCTAGGTGTGGCCAGTGGTGTTTCTCAGGCGAAAAGACAAGATATTCCTAAGATCCCAGTAGGGAGAATGACTAAATTGCCAGAAATCTGTTTGCACAAATAAATTCATCTGCTGCATTATCTGCAAGCGACAAATTTCATATTAAACATTGCTTTTATCAGGCTGAGTGTGGCATGAGTTATATGAGAGGCTGTTTTTAAGACTCCCAGGCCTTTCTCATCACCAGCTGGGGGCTGCTGGCTGGATCCCTGCCGGAGCAGGAGGGCGCGGGGCGCTTTTTTGGGGTGCGGGCCGAGCTCTAAGCTGCACCGCGTCTTATCGGGGCATTACGGTAGCGCGCGGAGTGCTGCGCGCATAATGCCGCCCTTACGGCGCACGGCGCCGGCGCTCTCGCGAGAGGCGGGCGCGGAGTTCCCGCGAGATGCCGTGGCCGGGGTGAGGAGGGAGATCCAAGCGGGGCGCGCGGCGCTCGCTGAGGGAGGCGCGGGGAAGGGGCGCGGACGGGGGGAACGGGAGGGAAGGAGGCTCCGAACGCGCCCGTCCCACCCCGCTTTCCCCTCGGGGAGTCGTGCCGGCGAGCCCCTCAGTGCCCGGAGCTGCCCTGTGCCCTCCGCGGCCGCTCCCGGTGCTCGCTGCCCGCCGCGCGTCCCTGCGTGCCCCGAGGGGTTCCTGAAGCGGATCGGGTCACACACATCAAGTGTCGTAATCGCCAGGAGGTTTGGGAACGGGCTTGCTGGAGCTGCCTGCCGGCAGGTGCGTTTGGTTCTCCAGAGCTCGCTTTGGGTTTTGGCAGATCTGTTGGTTCTGCGCCGCTCTTACGCCTCCTGCTCGTGATGCTGTAAATACAAACAGTAACTGCTGTGTAACCCCGGGAGTGCAGGAGCCCTGAGGCAGCCCCAGGTCTCTGTCTGTGCTGCATCCATGGGGATGTTGTGGCTGCCTTTCCTGGTCCTGGACCTTTTCCGGTGTTTCTGGGGATTTATGGAGCGTGCAGTCACTGGAGGGACTCACCTGAGGTTTCCTGAAATATGGGGAACCTTGCAGGCTTTTCTGAGTGAGCACCACACTTGATTTCTCTTTGGCCTTTTAGTTAGTACCCTTCTAAATTGGGAGGAAAAGCTGCATCTCATTATATAAATAATTTGATGCAGTTTCACTTATATAAGTGATCAGTGGATTTGGGAAGACGTGTTGGAAATTAGAGTCCAAAGTGCTTCTGGGAAACCAGAAACAAGTTGTGTAGCAGGAAGGGTGTGCTGCTACTGTGGAGTTAGTTCTGCTCCCATCAGATTCAAAAATTAGGGGGAAGAACAATGAGTTTGGTTTGGTCAGAGAAGAAGAGGCTGTCTTGCATCTTTTCTCATTTCAGAGAAAATTACAGCTTCAGCCTGGGTAGATTGTGTTTTCTGTGGATGCCAGCAGTGCAGATTGCAGATTGATTCTTACCCTGTAAATTGGAAGACCTCGTGTTTAGTCTTTCCTCAGGGCAGTGATGGGTCCCTCCTTAGCTGAGCATTTTGCTCTGAGTGTTTTGCTGATTATTTTCTGTCTATTTCCAGAGCCATGGAGGACTTGGAAAATAATACCACTGTCTTCTCCACCCTGAGATCCCTCAACAACTTCATTTCACAGCGAATGGAGGGAGTGTCTGGGCTGGCTACACCTGGATCTTCTCAAAGCTCCTTACAGATGCAGTACCAGCAGAGGATGCAGGTGAGGAGTCCTCATCTTGGTGATTCCTGCAGCACCACTTCAGTGTGGCCATGTGCTCCTTTTGTTTCTAGGAATTGGGAATTTCATTCAGTTCTGACCGTTTGTTCTGAAACTGACACAAACAAATAAAGGAAGCTTGATGTCACCATTCTGGAATCTTTTCCAGAATATATTTAATTTTTTTTACAGTGTCAGTTTTATTTCTGTTTTGTAAAAGTTTAAGAAAGGTTCTTTGAATTTATTCCCTGCTAGTTATATCTGTGTAGCAGCTCAGGAAATTAAATTGTGAGTTGTTTTCATAATGCTGAACAAAGGAGCTTTGTATCTTAACATTTTTTCTAGTAAGACACTTTGTTACCTTTTTTCAGGATTTAAAGGCTTCTTTGCCTGGACACATCCAGGATACTTATATTGAGCTGTGGCTTTGATATGCAAACCAGTTGTGCTTTCTTATCCACCTGAGTTATTTACTTTTTTTTTGCTGTTAACTGCTTCAGGCTCATAAAGCATAAAGTAAATTGACAATCTTAGATCCCAGGGACTGTTTATTAGGCTGCAATGAAGTATCGCTATTCTGTATATTAATATAATTTCTATTTCAGTCTCCAAGTAAAAAAATGTTTGCTTCTTTTTAATGTAAATCTGCTTTGCATTTGGAATGTTGACAAAAATTTAAGCTTTTTCTCTCGGTGCTACATCTCTAGTGGCAGCAGTAGTTGCAGGAGGCTCTCTGGTTAGAGTCTCCATCTGCTGTGTGTTGGATGTACATCACCAGGATGTGAGCAATTCTGATAGTATTGTCTGTGCTCTCAGGTAATTTTAGTGAGAAAATGAAGTGGAATGTTGTAGAGGTCATGGAAAAATGTGTTATTTTGTTTAGCAGTTAGTTTTATTGGGAGCATGATCTGTACTTCTTAGGCTTGGGGAAGTAATAATTAGCTTTTTAGATAGAGAAGTAGATCTTGTCAGACTACATCTAGAGATTGAGAAATTCTGATTTAAGAACCAGGAATTAGTTTTTTTCCAATTCACCTTGATTTGATGTGGGTTTCTGAGCGTGGTGTTGAACTCTTTGTTTCCCCAGCTACAGCTGGTGTGAGAGGTGCCACAAACGTGGTGATAGTTTGTAAAATGGCAAGTCAGTGTCAGCTGAGCAGTACAGGGCACCATGATACTGTTGTGCTGTTAATGGTGTGCAATGTCTCTTCTCACACATGAACTGGCCAGCTGGAGGAACAAGCTGGGCAGATCCACTCCAAATCCCAGCTGCTGCAGGTGGAACGGGAGAAGATGCAGATGGAGCTGAGCCACAAACGAGCTCGCATCGAGCTGGAGAAGGCAGCCACTACCAATGCCAGGAATTATGAGGTGAGTGGATGTCTGCTCATGGCTTGGGAGCATGGCCCAAGCCAGAACACATGGAGAGCATTTACATCAATGCTTTGGGTCAGGGATGTGCTTTGGTGTGCAGTGTCTGTCTCAGAATGTGTATAGTTACTCTTTGGAGTGAAACCAAGCTGAAAGGTGCATTCCAGGAGCAAGCCTGGTGTTCTCCAACTGCTAATGGACACTGTCTTCAGTGACTCTGGAATGCCTTTACAGTGTTTGCATTTACTGCAGGTGTGGCTGTCAAGTTGCCAGCACCAATGCATCTGCAGAACTGCTCTGCAGGTCCCCTCTCAGTGCACTGCACTAACTTGCTAATGTGCACAAGAGTGTGATCTTGAAGCCTCGTTATGTTCACAGACTGATGATCTGATCACTGATCCTGTTAGATTAGCACTGAAGTTGTCATGGGTAGCAGTAACAAAAGGGATTTGTTATATGTTTCTCCCAGAAGTATTTAATAATTTTTCTCCTAGAGGGTTTAAACTTCTGCTGGCACAATTGCAAGCGTTTGGTTTGTGTGACTGTAATTAATTGGAATGGCAGCAGTTCCAGCCATGCAGTGTCACGCAAGAGAGCCTGCACTGATAAAACAGTGAGCCTCACTCAGGGCCTAATAGCTTTTATTGGGTTCTGCTTTTCTGCCCACATATGTTTGCTTAACGACGTTACTGAAATAAGCTGTGGATCAGTGGCTTTTGCAGCGTAATAAAAGTCTTCTATGTGGGTGATTATTGAAAAAGAAATCAGTAAAAAAATAATAAGTATGTTTTTGTATTTTATGAGGGTGACAGATTTAATGTGTGGTTGTGAAATAGGGAGTCAGTGACTAAATTCCTTCTTCCTCTGAAGGTAAGGTGATGTGGGATTAGGCCAGGAAGAGTTCAAACTGGAATGTAGCTGAGTCAGTCACAGAAACCCTTGAAATACTGGTACAGAAAAAGGGAGCAGCATTAATCCAGCACTGTGGTAATTACCCTGCTCAGATTCTGTGTTTTTCCGAGTCATGTGGATAAATGTTTTAGGAACCTCACATTGCTTTGCATAATCCTTGCTTAATATGCAAATCCATGTCTCCAGTTGCTTTGATTAGCAAAGCAATTTACTATGCATTTTTTCAATAAGTATTGATCAATTTGTGGTAGGAGTAAACAGAAATGGTATATGAGAGGTTGTCAGACTGCAAGAATATTTATTGTATTAGTTGATAATATTTTCTTTTAAATGAATTCCAGAAGTTGCAGAGGGAAGTTGGTCTTATTAACCCAGGTGTTGAGGTCTGAGTTTCTGAAAGTCAATTTTTTGTTTATGGGTCAGCTTTAAATTGGAGATTGAATGTTTTCATCTTTAATCTGCTGGAGAGTGTGCAATGGAGTCTTTGAAGCCACATCTGTATTCTTAATGTCATGTCTTAGTGTAAGGGATTTGGAAGATGTAGTCTCTTAATTTTCCAGCTCCATTTTCCTGGGTAATTCCTTGGGTAATTCCATTGAGTTACTGCTGATAAATTTTTGTCCTTGCTAGGTTAAAGCTGTGGTCTGAGTAACTTTGCTTCATGATGAAGCAATTACCATTGGTGATCATAGTAATGAGAAATGAGGACAAAAGAAGGAAAAATGGCTTCACCTTTCTGCTGCTTTCTTCTTAAGTCTCTTTGTGTTTTCTCCTTGGCCAGCGAGAGGCTGATCGTAACCAGGAGCTGCTCACGCGCATAAAGCAGTACCAGGAAAGGGAAACAGAGGCTGAAAATAAACTGAAAGAACAAATGGAGATGAACAAATCTTACAAGAAGAGCATGGAGACAATGAGTAAGAAGCTTCAAGAGAAGGAGAATAAATTAGCTGAAGCTAATGAAGTAAGAACAGAGTAATTTTTAAGCCATTCATAGCTCCAGGTGACTTTGCAGTTCTTGTGACTTCAAAATGCCCTTTTTGATTTAAAAAACCCTTAAACAAAATAACTGGAACATTTTGTTCATCACCTGGAAATTAATAACCCTTGTGCTGTGTGTCTTTTCTGTCAAAGTTTAGAATCAAACCAAGCCCAGATACAAGTGAGCATGTCAGAAGGAGATTTCTTATACAAGATGATACGGAGAATGAGAAAAAAAGTGTGAGGCAACACCCAGCATATGGGCTCAGAAGTGTGAAGAAAGGGATAGTGATGGAGGAGATAATATAGGAAAGTGTTCAGGGAAGTCAAGAGAACGGTAGAGTGGATGAGGGCAACATTATGAACCAAGTGTGTCTTCCTGAAGTGTCTTTAATGTCTGTGCAGTCTACTGCAGAATGAATACTTGGGAACAGTTTCAGTGTATTTGGATGCCCAGACCATCTTCTCAACCCTCAACCTTCTCAGATATCATTATAGTTAAGTTCAGCTATTTATTTTGTAATTTTCCTGTAGCAGTTGTTGATCAGCAATCACTAACTCTTTAAGCCCTGCTCCTGCCTAGGTGTCACTGGAAATGTAGCAATGTGCTAAAGCAGGTAAACAGATTTAATGTTCCAGTTATCAGTGATTAAAGCCAGGGGGAGAGTGATGGTACATTAGAGAAACTAAATCCACCTAAAAGATGTATGCTGCAGTTCTGTGTCTGTGTTCTTTTATTCCTATCAGTATCAAGAGTGAGAACTCTACCTGTCTCTCAGTCTGGAAGACACACTACATATGTAATGTTTTGAGATAGTTCTCTTTTTCTCTGTTATAGGGAGCTGAGTAATGGCTGTTGAAACAAACCTGTCAGCTTTTCTTTAGCGTTAATAAATTTAGAAACTTTAAAGTTTGATGTTTTTCATGCCAGTTTGAGGTCACCCATTTAAGAGATAATGTAAATGACAATTTGGATGGCAAGTGAAAGTACAAAATTACTTTCTCTTGCATTTATTTGAGGTAGGTTTACAGGTCTGAAGGTTTGCAGGAGTGTCGGATTGTTTCTAAGATTGTGTTAATACCTTTTAGTTGGAAATTATTTCTATCACCATCCATAATATCCATATTGGAAAGTCACAGCCTTGTGTGTTTATGCTTTTTTTTTCCCATTAATTCAGACAATCACTGTATTAAAAGGGAAAATATCAGAGCTGCAATGGAATATAATGAACCAAGAGATGCAGATGACAAGCCAAGACTCTCAGAAGCAGGAACTGATGGAGCAGCTGGATGTTGAAAAAAAGTAAGCAAGGGATGAATGACTGTAGGGAGAAAAAGGCAAACAGAACTTCAGTCTTGTGCAGCTGTCATCACTCAGAAAACTTTCAATGGTGTTTGATTTCTGCTCTTCAAAGGGGTTCTTTGATCTGGGTGTGCAGGTTATAACTGTTGTTTGAAACCAGCTCTGAGGTGCAATATTAATTGTACCTTGAGGAAAAAAACCCACAAACTTGAGCTTTAAATCTCAGTGATGTTTCGTGTTCCTGGTGGAGAGTTAACAGAAGGGATGTGGGTGGGAAAGGCTGATCTGAACTTTATGGACTGAACAGATCAAAAATATGAAACCTTAAATCATAGTGGAGGGGTAATTGAAAGTTATGAGTGTGTTTTTTCTTGCTCTCAGCTCTTCAATTTCTAAGTTGTGAAGTTTCGTTTACTCTGAGTATATATTTGTTGTTCTCAGAGTCAAGTGGCTTGATTTTTTTTTTGTATTTTTCTCAATATGTTTCTTTTTATTAAAATGAATTGATATTTTTGTCTCTGGATAAGAGGGAACTGATAGGAGTGTGAGACTGAAAGAGTTATGTAAGAGTAACATTTACCTTTTTAGTGCTATTTGACTCTGTTGGTCAGAAACTTCTGAAGGTGGGTTGTTTGTGGTACCTGACTTGTGGGTGCTCAAGTTCCTCTTGTCTTCATCTGACAGGAAATGGCAGGAGGCAAGTCAGCAAATCCAAACACTGCAAGCAAGCCAGTCCTTACTGACAGAATATGAACAGAAGATTAAGGTAAGAAACTTTGTGACCTATATAAAGCTTTAGATTTTAATTCCTTCAGTGGGAGAACATAATGTTGCTTTTTTAAAATTTGGCTATTGCAGAAGTAAAAGGTTAGTTTGTAATATAAGTACCTGAGTTAGTTGCTAGCAGGAGCTGAGCTTGGGTGGACCAGGCTATCTACAATTAGCTGTAACATGACACTTTGCCTTTGTTGTATCAATTGATTGAAAAAAGCATGCTTTCTCTCTAGAAAGGTGATTTATATCCATAAGCAGTGCTCTGTAGGAATGCTTCTTTTGGTTTTGTGCCAATTTGCTCTGCAAAAGACTGCTTTTAGAGTGATCTTTTTTCAAATGGTGTGTGATGAGCCCAACAGCTACAGTTATTTTCTGCTTCCCAGAAAATCCTTCCTCTACAGTTGTGTTTAGAAAGTGCAATTACTTGTAAAGCTTTCAAAACTACAGTATCTTAAACATCAGTATGGAGATGCTTTTTGTGCTTCCAAATGAGCACATAGGTTGCTGGGAATGTATCTTTTTAATATGTCTTGTCTTCCTGGCAGAGGCAGACGTGGAGAGTTACTTTGGTTTGAGCAGTGCTGACAGTGGCACTGCCTTGCTGTGAAACCAACCCGATTGCCAGCAAGAGGAGACTTTCTCCATTGAAATGAAAAGATGGAAAACAGGATATAAGTCTGCAACGCAGCCCTAAATAATTCAGTTTTTCAGTGGAAATCTCCTCAACATTTACCATAATGTTGAAATGCACATTTGTGTTTCTTTCTGTACCTAATCCTTGCTTTCCTCTGCACTTTGTTGGTGGAGGGATAGAGGACAAGAAAATCACAGTTTTGATTCAGTTGATAGAAGAGGATCATTGTAATAAGTATCTGAGGTTTTTTTGTTATGAATTTGGACTAAGCAAGTGTAGAAAGAAGAGACCAGCCCAGGTATTAAAAGTGAAACAAGAGTCATCCCTGCTTTGAGCATGGATTGGAAAACATGACCTCCTGAGTCCCCTTCCAACTTCATTCCAGTCCTTGATTTGAGCTTAAAAAGTACAATGCAGAAATAGCTCTTACAAATTCCAACTTACTCATTGCTGTCCTGTTCTCATCCCATGTTTTCCAGGATCTGGAGCAGAAGTTGTCCCAGCAGGAACATGATGCTGTAATTGTCAAGAACATGAAGGCAGAACTGGCTCGTTTCCCAAAAATGGAGCGTGAATTGCGTCAGCTAAGGGAGGAAAATGCCTACTTCAGGTGAAGGAAGGGTTCAGGTGTTGAGGGTTGTGTTCTTCTATACATGCTACAGCTGCACTGTCTGCACTTTACATCCCTCTTTAGGGTTTCCACGTGGCAAAGCTCAGAAGGAAGTATTTCATTTAAGTACTGCTTATGAATTGAGCAGTGTCGTTGTGCTTACTAGATGAGAGGATCTGACAAGATCTGAGGAATCTTCTTGAACACAGGAGCCTCACAGAATGTGCATTCATTATCCTGGGTGCTGATTTTGGATTGTTAGGACAAAACTCATGTTTAAAGGTGGTGATGAACTCCGTACAGCTTTGGGAAAGAGTTTCCTGTAGGGAGAAGAGGCAGCTGAACATTTCTTTAAGAACTGGTTTTGCTTAGCTATTGTTACCACTGTGTTAAAGACCTGTTGTTCCAGCATAGTGTTTAGAAAGTGTCTTGTTTAAATTTCTAGAGCACTCTGATACAGCCATTGGGTAGAGCAGGCTTTCTGGATTGTCAAAGTGTTAATCAGTTTGAAAAATTAAATATAATGTGAAATTGCCTTAAAGTGTTAGGTGGTTTTTGTTGCTGTTGTTTGTCTTTTTGTAAAATTATATGAGTCATCTTGCCAGCTTTTTTTTTTTTTTTTTTAATTAAGTAATTTTCCCAGGTTTTGGTCTTGTAATTATTTCATTATAATTTTAAATTGTTTGTCTTGGAATTTTTTCTCATGGTTGTTTTTCTACATTGGAACATACCAACAGATTAAAGGTAATTTGTTTTTATACAGTTTTATTTCACCCTTGTACACCTCTATTGAAGTAAAACCAAGCAGTGCTCCAAACCCCAGGTCTGTACTGCTTGCTGTGTTACAGCCAGAGTGAAAAGCAGAGTTTTGAGTCTTTTGTTACCCTTGTTTTGACAAATAGTAAAGCAGACACAAAGCTTCAGCTTGTTTGGGCATAATTAGGTTGATATTTAGAGCAGAAAAAAAATTTCAGTAAAACTATTTTTTGGTACCAGTCACTTTGCTGTGAAGGTTATAGAAGTGTCAGTTGAATGTCATGATTCCCATGGGATTCCTGCATATCTGAAAGTGTGTGAAAGGGAATTGAATTGCATGAACCTGTAGTAATTGTCTCTCTTTATCACAGGGAAATGAAAGAAAACAATGGTTTGCTTAAAGAGGAAGTAGAAGGTCTCCAAAGAAAGCTGGAACGCTACGAGAAAGTCCAAGCACAGCTAGTGACTGTGGAATTGGAAAATGAGGTGAGGAGCTGGGAACATCTGGTGTGTGAGCAGAACAGGAGTTTCCTCTCTTGCCTGTCCTGACTTTTAGGCTCTTGTATTGTGTTACCTAAGATATGATGCCTCCTTTAATTAATGGACTTGAACCAGACATTTCCAAACTGGAAAGTCAGCATGAGGGGAGTTATGGCAAGGATGGTGTAAAAGGCAAAAGGGATATTTACTGTTCAGCTGGAGATTTTGTGTACAGAATAATCTCATCATAGTGTCTATTTTAGCCTTGATGTTTCTCTTTTACCTTCCTTTTGCTGGAAAGGCTTTTTCTGGCATCAGGCTCTGTCCAGATGTGGTGGTGTTGAATACGTGTGTGTGAAAAACCTTGGTACCCAGGGCTGCAGAATGACAAACCAAAAATGCTGGATAAGATCAGGAAATCCACAGCAGGAGAAGGAATGACACTGACTTTGCATGGAGGATTATGAGAAAACTCTGGTTTTGAGTTTTGAGAACGTGTGTCTATGTCTAACTCTACTTTTAATTTTCACTTTAGAAACTTCTGGGAAAATTGCAAAGCTGGGAGAAACTGGATCAGAGCACTGGCTTAAATATCAGGTATGTGCTCACAGCTCTGGAGAGAAGTAAGACTTTTAAGCCCTTTCCTCTATCTTCTGACCAGTCTCTTAAGTGTGTTGGTCATGCTTTCTTTCTGTCCCTTCTTCATGTGGAACCTCTTGTAGTACATTTTATTATATACAAGAAGAAAATAAGATAACACAATTTTAAACTTCGGAAACTAAGAAATTTTTTTCACCAAGTCACCTTGAGTAATGTCTTTGAGGCTGGGGATCAATTTTGAATTCTTGAAACTTTTTGTGTATAGCTGCATTTTTGTTTAGTTAGAGATTCCACTTGCTTAATAAGTGAATTTCTAAGAATTTTAGATGTCCAGAGAAGAGAATGTGTGCTACTTGTGGCAAACTGTTGTAAACATATTTCCTTTGAAATCTGGATATCAAAATTATCTGCTAGATCATGTTGTGACTTTCTTTACTTAAAGCAGCTGAAGAAATGTTATATTTTAGTTATTTTGTCAAAGCCACTTCCCAGTTGTGTTTTGTAACACCAGCTGGTCTGTGTGCTGGTACTCAACAGCTCCTCCTGACATCTGGAGCAGTGAAGCAGATTTTTAAAGGTCCCTGCATATGTGGTATAAAAAGAAACTGGAAATAGTGGAAATTTTGATCATTCTCTTCTGCTGCAGAAGATGTTCTGTGTATATATGAATCTTTTGTGTGCCATGTTTCAACACTGTTTTATTTTCTCTAAATATTTATAGTGTTATTACATGAGAAAAGAAGATGCTTCTTTGTAAATAATTGATATGAGCATTGATCACCTTTCACACTGGGTCAAGGGCAAAACATGAGTAGCAGAACCTCCTCTTGCCAGTTGTTTCTCCATTCCATTCATTCCACATACCCAGGCACAGAGCTGTGTGTGCACACTGCTGGGATTGTTTGGAAATGCACATATGGGTTTGGACACATCACTGCTTCATGTAAAAGATACTTGTGTTCGAGCTTGGGAAACCTGCCTTAATTTTCTCAGTGTTTCCTGTTTAATGAGGATAAGAAACCTTTTCCAGAGGCTTGCTGGTGGGTAGCATGCTTGAGGTTCTCTCCTGCATACATTTAGATGAAGATAGAATTATGCTAAGTCTCCTATGGTAAGGTATGGACAGAAATTGTAGGAATCCTTTTCTCAAAACCTTTTGGAGTAAAAGCTTTTTACTTACCTCAAGCTGTTAAAGGTTTAACGAGGTAATTTCACAGCGGGAGAGAAATGGAGCCAAGTGATTCTGCCTTTTGAAGTCTAATAACTCCTTCATTTAAAATCAGAATATTCACTGTGAAGTGCTAGTTTTGTGATTGGGCCATATTGTTTAGTGCTATTAATGGCACCTTTTACAGAAAGGGGAATTGCTCTTGAGAAAGATCATCTTTTCAGGCAATTGGAGCAAGTGGGACTGGATGATTTCCCCCTCCCTCCCTTATTGTCCTTTTCTTTTCTTGCTCAGACTTCTTACAGCATGAATTACATTAATTTTTGGTGAGGGTGATGAAGATGGTGAGAGATCATTGCTCTGGTTGGATCCTGGAGAATGCTGTTGGTGAAAGTTTGAGAAGAGTTAATTGCCCATCTCATAGTAGAAAAGAAACAGGAACAAGTTGGCTGATTGTCCCAAAAGGCCAGAGGATTGTTCTGTTTGCTAATAACTAGATAAGAAAGGGAAAAGGGAATAAATTAGGATTTCTCATCTTTTCTTATCAGGTTCTTCATTGGTGCAGAGGATGTAAGAGAAGTGCATGCAGTATGTGGAGTTTTAGGAAAGGATGATTTTTCATTTCCTCCAGCACTTCCACAGGGCTTGTTCAATGTCTGCTCTCAGTGGTTTCTGTTCACTGATTGCCTGCTCCCAGCAGGCTTTTTGTCAGATTGGCTTATGATCAGCCCTTGCAGTGTAATTTTATGTAATAATACTTGGGAAGGAGGTGCAGCTTTCACAAGTGTTGTGGTAATCCAACTGTTTTTAGTACTGGTCTCTTTTTGGTGACAGTGGAAGAGTGTTTATAATGCTTCACCTTGTGGGGGGAAAACAAGTTCATTAACAGCTGACTCTGGCTAATCTTCTGTTTGCTCGTTCTGGATTCCACTTGTAAGCTCCTGGGCTTTCTCTCTTTTCATAAACAGTAGAAACAAAGACAGCTGTAGCTCTATAGCAAAATATCCCTGTGCTATATCTAGATAATAAAATAGGACTCATCATATGTGTTATATAGGGTTCATGTGTACACATTATAAGTCTATGTCATCTTTTTGTGTTCAGTTATATGTCCTTTGGATTTCTTGAGCTTCTTACTGCCTACCTTGGCTCTGGTTTTTATTGTGGAGCTAGGTCTTTTTTGTGTGTTACTCTTATGCTGCCAGGGATTTTCATACATTTGTCATGTGCTGCTCTGACTTGATATTTCTGCTGTAGAATTGGATTCAGCTGTAAAGGGGAAAAAACCACAAAATGTTACATTCTTGCTCTGTGAGTAGAAAGCCTTATTTATTTTGGAGTGCACCGTCCTATAGAAGGATATTTATACATGGCTTTTTTAGGACTGTTATTAGGAAAGGGTTGTGTTGAGAAAACAAGCTTCTACTACTCTGTCTCTCCAGGATGTGCTGATGTGGTTTCTATTTCTTCAAAATCCAGTATTTGAGTAATTGAGTTATTGACCATCTTCACTGGTTGACCATCTTCACGGACAAACCATGTTAATCGTGACACACTTGGTTGTTTTTTCAGCATTGGACTGTTAGCTTAGAGACATTTTCCAGAAAGTTCCTCTACTGCCATTAAACAGTTAATCTGTTTTAACAGAAAACTACTCGGGGGAGGTTTTAGGTGACAGCAGCGGCTTTATTTGGGTGACAAAGCTCAGAACTCCCACGAGATGGCGCCCGCTGTCCTGCAGGAGAGGAGAAGGAACAGGATCGCTCCAGCCTGGAATCCATCCCGGTGTGAATCCATCAGCCTTGGGAAGGGGCGGCTGCTCTCAGGAAAGCTCGTAATTGCTGCCGGCAGAACTTTTAAACTCTCCTGCATGGAGTCACCGTCTCCTTGCCCAGTACTCTGGGCTGTATTTTGGTATGAAAATTGTTTGTGCAGATTTCTCTGATGGAATATGAAACACTGTTTTTCTAGCTGACTTTGTAAACTTCATGTTTACACCATGTATTCTTAATTTTGTCTTGTTTAATAGGAGTTCTTCACAGCCTGGTTCTTTTCTCCCCACCCCAAGCCTTAGAATTGCATTCTCAGTACAGCACTGTTATTGTTCTGCATTTCCCTTCTGCAGCATGTAGAGGATGCCCAAGTAAAAAATGAGGGTGCTGTTCTGTGAGCTATTAATCTAAATAAGCCTTTTTTGCTGCTGTTTGTCTGTGTTTGGTTGATATTGTTTTTGTCCTCTAATGAATTTAGCAAGCGATTTGCTATCCTTAAATAGATATACCCTGGAGTACTGAATGATGGAAAAAGATGTGCATCAGGTATTTGTTAAATCTGAGGCAGTAACTCAGATACTGAAGGTACTGATAGCCATTGATAGCAGCTGACAAGGTTTAATGCTAAAATTGTCTTTGTGTTATTCCATAAGTGACAGAAGAGTGCAAGTTTTGAAAGGTTGGATTTTGGCTGAAGAGTCATACAAGTGAGTGAAGACTGCCAGGTGGGCCACAAACAACAGCTTTGAGGAGTTTTAATCCAAGCTTTTTTTCTTTCTTGAGGTAATAAATAGTAATGTGTGATACAGGGCTTGTTTTTATTTGTTTCTTATTTTGCTTCATGTTTTTCTAATGGCAATAATGAGTATAAAGTTTTTACAGATTCACCTGCTGGGCTCAAAGATCTTTGTATACACAGCAGAGTTATTTTATATTGCTGATCAAATATATTGATCATGGCCTATTTAAGTCAGTCTTTCCTTTTTGGAGCATTGTTTTCTGTTGCAAGTTGTACTGTCAGCTCAGGCTTGGTGTTCATGTGTAGGAAAAACCAAAAGATTTTGTTCATACAGCTTTTCAGAATAATTTCAGTTTTTTCCACAGTAAGGATTTCAGCTGTCCTTTTCTGAAGGGCTGTGGAATACAGTGTGGAAATTAGAGGTGGAGCTGATGTGGAGGTGAGTGCTTGGACTCTTGTTTGGAGCTCAGAGACTCTGGTCATGGGCTTGGGTGTTCTGAGTCACATCCCACTCTGGTTCTGGGGTCAGGCAGGTCTTGGTCCCCTGTGCTGATGGTGTGAGGCTGACCCAGAGACACTTGGGGTTCACTGAGTCTGGCTCTGGGGAGTGCCCACAGAGCCCTCCGGGGTGAGTGCAGGTGGCTGCAGCAGTGAGATCTCCTGGAGCTGCTGTGGCTGTCTGGGGAGCTCACTGGCCAGGCCAGGCCTGCCAAGGGAAGTGCAGTGTGGCAGGATTTTGGGCCAGTGCTGAGCAACCATTTTCCCTTGGTGGAGCTGCCAGCTGCAGACAGCAGACACTGATCTGCTGACCTGTTGCCTCGAGCCAAAGAAGTGAACCTGGGAATGCTGACCTGGTTTTCTTTTGGAAACATCTGTGGGCTGGCTGGCTGACAAATCTTGGGGACTAACTTCCTGCAGTGTCTGAGACCAATTAAGAGAGGAGATAGTGTGAATGTGTATGCATTTCCTCTCTAAGAAAGGGTTTAATTAAGTGGCAAGCATCTCTATTTAGTACAGTGGTTTGCACAGTTGTAATTCATAATTACCCAGGTGCTACACTCAGTACGGGAAGTCCTTCTATGCACATTCTGCTTTTAGAGCAGGGGGAAGGGAGGAGAGAGAGGGAAAGGGGAATCAGATTTCTTGATTCTGCATTTAGTGGTGGATTAGAGCTCTTTTTTTCAGTGAATAGAAGAAAAAGGAGAATATTTGAGTTCTCTACTTTCCTTTTTGAATCTTGATTAACTATGCTTAGTTACTGTGAACTCTTCCATCCAAGGCATTGAATATCTTTGCAGTAGTGAATGAAACTCATAAT